GACAGGATTTTTCCCTGTTGGTCAGGCTGGTCTTGAACTCCCAACCTCATGCTGAAAATGCTGATGGCTGACAGTGCTCAGCTGGGTCCCTCACTGGGGGTAGCTGTTGGGTAAAGAGAGCCCTTTTATCAAAGGTCACATCTCCTTTATATGTGCAGCCCACATCCAGTGACTGGCTGGTATGAAGGTATAAGAACCTGGTTCTGTCTCTCAATTTAGGACAATGCTGATAGGCCAACCCAGCTCCAGAATTCCTGCAGGATTTTCTGATGCCTCAGTTGCAAATATGTTGCAGTTCAACTTCTCCCTCTGCCCAGTCTTGCATCCCTCAATCCCCCCAGAGGTTGTTCTTGCCATCATTGGGTAATAACCCCTGCATACAAATTTCAGAGTTTTGGGGTCTATTTCCTGGTCAACTGAAGTTGCGATGGGCCCCCTGATTTATATCAAACATGTAACGTGTGAGAAATAAACCTTTGTTGCAATAAGATGCTGAGATTGGGGGATGGTATTGTAATTTAGCCCATCCGGATTAGTACGGATGCCAAACCTTACTGGTACCACCAGTACTTTGTTCTCAGCTGAGCTTGACTTACATTGTCTGCCTTTTGTCGTGGACAGGTTTCTTGCCAAGTCCTACTTCTGTTCTTTGATGTTCTTTCTCACTGTGAGTGAACAGCCATGTCGCAACTGAGATATTACAAAAAGGAACAGAAAAGGAAAGCGGGTACATATATCTAGCTGTAAACCTACCAAGTCAGTGGCATGTATTTTTTCATGTGAATTTCCTAGGACCTTTTCTGTGTTCTATATTATTTATCATACATTTATAACACATACACTAGTCCTCCCTCCTCCTTATCCACAAGGGATATGTTCCAAGACCTCTAGTGGACACCTGAAACTGCAGAGAGTACTGAACTCAATTGCTGTAAACTGGAATACATTTCTGTTATGCCATCCACTCACAAATTTACTATCATTTCCATTTTAACTAAGCATTTATTATGCATTGTGGCCATCACTTTTGTAGTTTGAGGTGTGGCAGCAAAACAAGCATGAATTTAGTTTTTCTTCTTCACAATTCAGTTTCACAAATAAAATTCTTTTCTTTTTTTTTTTTAGCCAGAGTCTCTGTCACCCAGGCTGGAGTTCAGTGGCACAATCTTGGCTCACTGCAACCTCTGACTCTAGGGTTCAAGTGTTTCTCTTGCTTCAGCCTCCAGAGTAGCTGCTGGGATCACAGGCAGGTGTCATCATGCCCAGCTGATCTTTTGTAATTTTAGTAGAGAGGGGCTTCACCACGTTGGGCAGGCTGGTTTCGAACTCCTGACCTCAAGTGATCCTCCTGCCTCGGCCCCCCAAAGTGCTGGGATTACAGGCATGAGCCACAGCACCCCACCAAAGATTCATTCTTACCAGAGATCTTAGCAACCTCAACATATTTTTTTCTCCTTCCTTATTGAGTCAAAAACTCTGATGTTTTAACTTACAGGAAGCACTTTACAGCTTCTCTGTGCTTGAATTGCCAGCAACACTACTCTTGTGCTTTGAGGCCTTTGTTAAGGAAAATAAGGGTTAGTTGAACACAAGCACTTGGATACTGCATATTGCCACAGTCAATCTGATGAGACTGCTACTAAGTCATTAAGGAGGTTACAGCGGATACACTGTACAAACGGATGATTCACATCTCAGCAGGACAGTGTGGGATGGCAGAGATTTTATCACAGCTAGTTAGAACAGTACTCAATTTAAAACTTCTGAGACGGGGCGAGGTGGCTAACACCTGTAATCCCAGTACTTTGGGAGGCAGAGGTGGGTGGATCACCAGAGGTCGGGAGTTTGAGAGGAGTCTGACCAACCTAGTGAAACCCTGGTTCTACTAAAAATACAAAATTAGCTGGGTGTAGTGGCGCATGCCCATAATCCTAACTATTTGGGAGGCTGAGGCAGGACAATCGCTTGGGTCCGGCAGGCGGACGTTGCGGTGAGCGGATATTGCGCCATTGCATTTCAGCCTGGGCAACAAGAGCGAAACTCCATCTCAAAAAAAAAAAAAAAAAAAAAAAAAAAACCAACAAAACCAAACAACAACAACCTCCCCCCACAAACGAAACAAAACAAAACTTATGAATTGTTTATTTCTGAAACTTTCCATTTAATATTTTGACCGTAGTTGACCGAAGGTAACTGAAACTGTAGATAAGGGGAAACTACCACAAAGGGCACTTAATGTTTCTTGGAAAAAAGTCTTAAGCAAATAAAAATTTAATGATGAAGTACTTGACCTCAATTTGAGGAACATAAAAGTATACTATGAATTAATAAACTTTCTGCATCTCTAACATACAAAAATCCAATTTCTCTGAGTGCTAGAAACTCTCAGTTCTTAAAAGACAAATCGTAAAACAATACTGGTTTCTGATTTTGGTCTTTTGGGGGAAACAAAATACAGTAAAAAAGCTAATGAATCAGCCGGGCGCGGTGGCTTAGGCCTGTAACCCCAGCACTTCGGGAAGTCAAGGTGGGCGGATCACCTGAGGTCGGGAGTTCAAGACCAGCCTGACCAACATGGTGAAACCCCATCTTTATATATAAAAAAAATTATATATATGTGTGTATATATATATATATATATATATATATATATATATACAAAAATTAGCCCGGTGGGGTGGCGCCTGTGATCCCAGCTACTCGGGTGGCTGAGGCTGGAGAATCACTTGAACCTGGGAGGCGGAGGTTGCAGTAAGCCGAGATCCCACCACTGCACTCTAGCCTGGGCGACAGAGCAAGACTCTGTCGCCAAATAAATAAATAAATAAATAAAGCTAATGAATCAAAGCATATGCTCCTTGTCTTTTTTAAGGGATTTTGCTATGTAGAACTTTTTTTCTTTGCCTAAAGGGTAAACAGTACAAACGTATTTCAATTAAAAAGAGTCTCAGAATCCGGGGCTGGTATTGCTACAACCCCTAATTATGGAAGATGTTTAGTATGATTAACAGAAACCAGTTTAAGGAATGTGGAGATTTATTTACATCAAATTCAGATAAAGAGATAAAAGCAGACTTGAAGAAACAAGCAGAACATGACTTAAGTAGTCTGTCTATGACTGTATCTGTGCCCTTGGCCACAATGAAAGACCAGCAAAACCAGCCTTCAGAATAACCGTACTGCCTGGTGGGAGATGGGAAGGCCAGACTTTACCCGTCAAGATCGCCGATCGCCCTCCTACGCGCATTTTCCACCTCGCAGCTAAGAATTCACGCCAGACTTCCGATCATGGCGCCATGCACGTCACCTTCTCCCCTCTCTGCCGGCAAAATCCCACCCACGTCGGCTGACCCCGCAGCGGGGTGTTAAGGGCGGGATGAATCCCTTCCCCTCTCCTGGTCGCTAGTACAAACCAGATGGAAAAAACGCACTACACAAATCCTTGGAAATTGCGGTACCAATGGGACCTTCTCAGTTCCTTGAGAGCAAAATGGTCCCACTCTATCCTGACACAACTCTAGCTCAGTTTTCCTTTCACGTGCCCTAAGAAGCCCTCAGGGCCCCCAGCCTTGGGGAATCCAGGCCCTCTCTCGGGTGGGTACCGCGCTGTACCGACAGGCTCACGCACGCAGCGGGACGATTTATAGAAGTAAAAGTCTTTTCTTTGTTTTCTGGCTTCGCATCCTTGCAAATATTCAATATTCCTGTCAGCTAAGAAGGCTAAGGGAATGGGCGGTTGAGGAAAGCAGGACGTCGATTACAGCAAACACATCAATTTAGGGGTGGTCTTTCCAATTCCGGCTTTTGTTTGAGTCAGAGGGGAGCCTGCGGAGGCCAAGGTCTCGGGTTCTGGGAAAGGCGGGCCCATCCGGATTCTTTGGGCTGCGGAGAGGGAGGCACCAGACCCGTGAAACAACAGAGGGCACTTCTGCCCCTCGAGGCTTTCCTCCGAGAGTCCTGGGGAGACCAAGACGCCTCTGACGGGAGAATTCCCGGAGCTCGGAAGTCTGCCGAACGCTGGACAAAAAGATGTGGCCGCCCTCTCTTAAACACACACGCGAATCCCAAGCCATGCACGTTTGGAAGGCATGTGTGTGTGCGTGAGGGAGAGAGGCCACCGCTGCCCACCGCTGCCCCACCCAGCCCTCGGCCATTCAGGGCAGAGACCCGCGGAGCCGCGGCCCCCGAGGCCTCAGCCAGCCCCGGACGAGGGGCGGGGCCGGGCGGGGCCGTGAGCGCGCAGACTCAGTGCGGGTTTCCTCGCGCCGCCGGCGCCGCCGTCACCGCCCGCGCTGCACCACAGGCCAGAGACAGACTGGGCCGGGAAGAGCTGGAGACTGAGGAGGAGGCGGAGGCGGAGGCGGCGGCGGAGGCGGGGCGACTCCGGTGACCGGGAGCGCCGCAGACTGGCAGCTGCGGCGACTCCCCCCTTTGTGTCTGGTCTGCTCGGAGCCACTGGAAGTGCTTCCCGGAGGGGCGCAGGGTGTCTCGCCTCCTTGCTGCCCACCCCCTTCCCCGGCTACCTTCCTCCGCCCTCCCGCCGCCCCCCGCCCTCGGCCCGCGACGCCCGAGCTCTTCCTGGAGCCCAGAGCTGCGGGAGAACGAGGCGGCGGCGGCGGCGGCGGCGGCGGCTTCCTCGGGGGGTTGTGATTCTCTCACAGGAGCCATTGACTGGAGAAGGCAAGGCTTTCATGGTGGAATTTACCTCAGGCAAGATCGAGCCGCCGGAATAAAAAGCGAGGAAGGGAAGCGGGCACCGCCGGGAGGACTAGAAGGGGCAGCCTCTCGCTCCCCCTCCGCTCGCGGTCTCGGGGAGCTCGGGCCCGGGCCGCGACCCCTCCCCTCCCCCGCTCCCACCTCCCTGCAGCCCTCGCCAGGGCCTCCCAGACCCTCGCACGATTGTTCCGCAAAGGCGTGGGGGCTGTGGGCTTGTCCATGGAGGCAGGCACTTTCTTCGATCCAGTCGAGGAAGAGGATTTGTTCTCGAAATCACAGTGAGGGAAGCACCGAAGCGAAACTTAAGGAATCCTGCCTTCCTGGAGCCGCTGGCGATGCGACTCGGGCCGCCGGGCGCCGCCGCCGCCGCCCGCCCGGCTTCGCCCTTCCCGGCAGTCGGGAACTAGTTCTGAACTAGTCCCCCGGCCCCGGATCGATCCCCGCCCTCCGCACCCTGGATATGTTTTCTCCCAGACCTGGATATTTTTTTGATATCGTGAAACTACGAGGGAAATAACTTGGGTGATTTCTTCTTGGATCCCTGCCTTCCCCACGGACATGCCTTCAGTTTGGAGGGCTGCGGCACCCCGTCCGAGGCGAAGGAACCCTCCCCAGCCGCGAGGGAGAGAAATGAAGGGAATTTCTGCAGCGGCATGAAAGCTCTGCAGCTAGGTCCTCTCATCTGCCATTTGTCCTTTCAAACTGCATTGTGATACGGGCACGATCAGTCCACGGGAGAGGAGACGAACCTCCCGGCTGTTTCTCCGCCGGTATCCACTTCCCGTATTTCTTTTCTTTGCTCTCCTGCTTCTTGTCTGGCCCAGGGATGACTTCCTCGCTGCAGCGGCCCTGGCGGGTGCCCTGGCTACCATGGACCATCCTGCTGGTCAGCGCTGCGGCCGGTGAGTAGCCCTAGCCTGGCGCGTCCCGGCCACTTCCCCTGCGGAGAGGGAGGGAGGGAGCCCGCAGAGGCCGAGGCCTGTGCTCACCCTTCTCGACGCGTCCCGCGGATCGCGGTGGAGCGGAGCCGCGACCCGGTGCCTGTGCGCCTGCCCCGTGCCTTCCAGGGAAATCACCTTTAATATTCCTGTGTACTTTCCTATCCCCGATTCCATATTCCCACCCCACCCCCCTTCACCGGGTAAAAAAGACATATTGGGTGTGGTATCTTGACATTTTTAGCTGTGAGGTAATGCAAGGATTAAAAATAATATTTTAATCACCAGTGAACAGTATCTGTTATGAGATCTCAGGAAACAGACCTGTATATATGTGTGTGTGTGTGTGTGTGTGTGTGTGTGAATATATATATATGGAATTTATTATTATTATTATAAAGAAGCGGTTTTGGCTTATAGTAAAAAGAACATCAGCTAGAGAACACACTTGAACCTTTTTATATTTAGATCATGCTGAGAATCCATGTTACTTTCATTATTCAGAAATGTTACCGAATGAATAGAATAAACGTTGAGGAAGCCAGAACTGTGAGATTCTTGATACATTGTATTATACAGTTTCCTATTTTTATCAGTGGTATTATTTTGTTCTCAAGTATTTTAATAATTATATCTCCATCTTTTCAACCTGGGCACTTACATATTAGATGCTTTTGGAGAATTACAGTACTGTTGGGCTGTATTTTGATAACTTTACTATTAGTCACCTGGCATCTATTTATTGGCTTTGCTGTTTAGACAACTTTGACCTGACATCAGACTTCTAGGAGATTTGACTCCCGAAAGTTCTTTGACATTTCTCTAAAGTCTAAAGGGAAATGGTAGTCATCCTTTCCTTTGGATATTTTCATTTCAGTTCTCGGACACCTTAGGAAAAAGACCTTATCTTCTATTTGCAACTCTTTCTTTCAAGCAGGCTTTTGGGAATTCGCTTTTAGAAATTTTCAGGAGTGAATCCTACGTACAACTGGTACAATTGGTTTATGATGAGCAAATGGATTGTGCTTTTAAAACGAATAAAGGACCAAATGACCCTTTCCAATTACTTTTTTCTTATGATAACTGTGTTTCACATTAAACAAATTTCTCATTGCTATGTCAGATACAAAGGTTACTTATTTCATTTTAAAAGTCTGAACTAGGAAAATGACGAAAGAAAATTTGAAGTTTCCTTTTATGCTTTTGATATTGTTGAAAAATGTCTTGTTGATTAATGTCTGTTAAATTGGTGATAAATCCATATAGTTCTGTTAAAATAATTTGAATTTTGAATTTACTTTGAAACTAATATTTTAATATTTTTAATAATTATAGTTCCTTTCAGAGTAAAAATGAATGATTCTTCTTTAAATTTCTTTATATTGTGTTAGCTATTTAAATTCTTTAGCCATAAGCCTTGTGGTTCCTGTAAAATCTAGAATATGAGGCCTTAAATGTTCCTTAAGCAGAAATCTCAGAATGTACACTTTTCAGTGTTCTTTGTTATTCTTAACCTTTTAAGAATATAGATTCTCATTTATGGTGACATGCTCGTAATATTGTGATCAGAACTGATAATAGTAAGAGAAAAAATATTGATTTAAAAATAATTTTTTTTGTTAATACAATTATCTTAGAATAGTGTCTCTTAAAAGGGAGAGTAAAAAAATGACAGCCTAAAAGTGGATTTATTCTTTTTTTTTTTTTTTTTAGTATTGCATAGCACCAAATGACAAAATTTGTGAAGCTGGATTTCAGACCTGTAACAATAATGATAATAGTCAGTATTTAAGTGCCTGCCATGCACCATCAGCTATTCAAACAACTTTGCATATATATATATATATATATATTTTTTTTTTTTTGAGACAGAGTCTCACTCCCTCACCAGGCGCCAGGCTGGAGTACAGTGGTGCTACCTCAGCTCACTGCAACCTCCACCTCCCAGGTTCAAGCAATTCTCCTGCCTCAGCCTCCCAAGTAGCGGGGACTACAGGCGTGCACCTCCACGCCCAGCTAATTTTTTTTTTTTTGTATTTTTTTTTTTTTTTTTTTAGTAGAGACGGGGTTTCACCATGTTGACCAGGATGGTCTTGATCTCTTGACCTCGTGATCCGCCCGCCTCGGCCTCCCAAAGTGCTGGGATTACAAGTGTGAGCCACCGCACCCGGCCTGTATTTTTTTAAATTTCATCCTTCTGACAATTCTATACTGTAGGTTATTGTCATTCCCCTTTTCCGTAGAGGGAGAGTAAAGAGAATTTGAATAACTCACCACACAGTGGGTAAATTATGGAGCCAGGACTATAGTGTGTGCCTTTATTTTATTTATTTATTTTTTTTGAGACAGAGTTTCGCTCTTGTTACCCAGGCTGGAGTGCAATGGCACGATCTCGGCTCACCGCAACCTCCGCCTCCTGGGTTCAAGCAATTCTCCTGCCTCAGCCTCCTGAGTAGCTGAGACTACAGGCACGCGCCACCATGCCCAGCTAACTTTTTGTATTTTTAGTAGAGACGGGGTTTCACCACATTGACCAGGATGGTCTCGATCTCTCGACCTCGTGATCCACCCGCCTCAGCCTCCCAAAGTGCTGGGATTACAGGCTTGAGCCACCGCGCCCGGCTAGTGTGTGCCTTTACATACCACATTAATGGTAAAACATTAGTAGCAGCAACAACTCATTCTTATTGGGTATATGAGGTGGAGTAATGCCTTCACCAATTCAACCTTTGAAAAGAAGCAGGGACACTTACAAGGTGTTAGTGCAGCAGTGGTTATACAAATGTCATAGTTCTCAAAAAAAAAAAAAAAGTCATAGTTCTGAACATGTAAAACTTTGCTTAATATTGAAGTGGCTAGTGCAGCTTCATTAAGTGCAAGGTGATTAGAGAGGGCCTGTGTGGATTTGGGTTACATAGCTGCAGTGATGTTAACTGGACAGGCACAAATAGTGCAGCTGAACAGGGAAAAAAACCCCAGAAGACTGATTGATAGCATATCCTTTTTTGGGGTCATGGATAAATCATTTCTTTGAATCCCTCTTTTTCACATACCTAGTTCTCGGACTCCTTAATTCTCAGAACATGTTCTTTTTTCTTTTCTTTCTTTTTTTTTGTGGAGACAGGGTCTCACTCTGTTGCCCAGGCTGGAGTGCAGTGGTGCGATCTTGGCTTACAGCAACCTTTACCTCACAGGCTCAAGTGATTCTCCTGTCTCAGCCTCCCAAGTAGCTAGGATTACAGGCAACGCACCACCATACTGGGCTAATTTTTTTTTTTTCGATCATTTGAGGTCGAACTCCTGACCTCAAATGATCCACCCATCTCAGCTTCCCAAAATTCTGGGATTACAGGAGTGAGCCACTGCACCTGGCCTAATTCTTAGAACATTTTCTATGCAAAAAAAAAAAAAAAAAAAAGTTTATGAAAATAAGATGTGGCTGCTTGGTTTATAAATGAATTCTTTTTTTTTTTGGAGACGGAGTTTCGCTCTTGTTACCCAGGCTGGAGTGCAATGGCGCGATCTCAGCTCACTGCAACCTCTGTCTCCTGGGTTCAAGCAATTCTCCTGCCTCAGCCTTCCAAGTAGCTGGGACTACAGGCATGTGCCACCATGCCCAGCTAATTTTTGTATTTTTAGTAGAGGCGGGGTTTCACCATGTTGACCAGGATGGTCTCGATCTCTTGACCTCGTGATCCACCTGTCTCGGCCTCCCAAAGTGCTGGGATTACAGGCGTGAGCCACCACGCCCGGCCTGTAAATGAATTCTTTTTTTTTTTTTTTTTTTTTTTTTTGAGACGGAGTTTTGCTCTTGTTACCCAGGCTGGAGTGCAATGGCGCGATCTCGGCTCACCGCAACCTCCGCCCCCTGGGTTCAGGCAATTCTCCTGTCTCAGCCTCCCGAGTAGCTGGGATTACAGGCACGAGCCACCATGCCCAGCTAATTTTTTTGTATTTTTAGTAGAGACGGGGTTTCACCATGTTGACCAGGATGGTCTTGATCTCTTGACCTCGTGATCCACCCGCCTCGGCCTCCCAAAGTGCTGGGATTACAGGCTTGAGCCACCTCGCCCGGCTGAGGGCCAAGCTCTTAATTAGATTTTTGCGTTAAAATTATATAATCTTTGGTCTCTACAAAAGCTATTCTGGCACATGGGATGATGTGATAGTAGTGGTATTGATGTGGATGAGTATATGAAATGTGGGGAGACAGAACTATTCCACACAAAGACAAAACCTTTCCTTTATTAAATGCCAGCTTTGTTTTTTTTTTTTAACAATGAAAGAGAAGAAGTTGAATATTGATCTCTGAAGGGTAAGTTCTGACCACAAAAAATACTGAGTGGAGTCTGCGTGAATTAGTTAATTGTGTAATTGGCCACAGCACTTATTTTGGCAACTACTCATATACTGCAGTGCTGTTGGGTATCAGGTTTTGTTTTTTCTGTTTTTGTTTTGAGAAGGAGTCTTGCTCTGTTGCCCAGGTTGGAGTGCAGTGGCATGATCTCTGCTCACTATAGCCTCTGCCTCCCAGGTTCAAGTGATTCTCCTGTCTTAGTCTCCTGAGTAGCTGGGATTACAGGCCCCCGCCGTCATGCATGGCTAATTTTTGTGTTTCTGTAGAGATGGTTTCACCATGTTGGCCAGGCTGGTCTTGAACTCCTGAGCTCAGGTGATCCACCTACCTTGGCTTCAGAAAGTGCTGGGATTACAGGCATAAGCCACCGTGCCTGGCCAATTTTTTTATGTTTGGTAAAGATGGGCCGGGTGCGGTGGCCCAAGCCTGTAATCCCAGCACTTTGGGAGGCCGAGGCGGGTGGATCACGAGGTCAAGAGATCGAGACCATCCCGGTCAACATGGTGAAACCCCGTCTCTACTAAAAATACAAAAAATTAGCTGGGCATGGTGGTACATGCCTGTAATCCCAGCTACTCAGGAGGCTGAGGCAGGAGAATTGCCTGAA